TTACAATATTGTAATGATTTTTGTCATACATTGACATGAATCAGCCATGGATTTACATGTGTTCCCCATCCCGATCTCCACTCCCGCCTCCCTCCCCATCCCATCGCTCTGAGTCTTCCCAGTGCACCAGCCCTGAGCACTTGTCTCCCGCATCCAATCTGGGCTGGTGATCTGTTTCACCCTTGGTAGTATACTTGTTTCAATGCTATTCTCTCAGAACATCCCACCCTTGCCTTCTCCCACAGAGTCCCAAAGTCTGTTCTGACATCTCTGTCTCTTTTTCTGTTTTGCATATAGGGTTATCATTACCATCTTTTTAAATTCCATATATATGCATTAGTATACTGTATTGGTCTTTATCTTTCTGGCTTACTTCACTCTGTATAATGGGCTCCAATTTCATCCACCTCATTAGAACTGATTCAAATGAATTCTTGTTAATGGTTGAGTAGTATTCCATTGTGTATATGTACCATAGCTTCCTTATCCATTCATCTGCTGATGGGCATCTAGGTTGCTTCCATGTCCTGGCAATTATAAACAGTGCTGTGATGAACATTGGGGTGCATGTGTCTCTTTCAGATCTGGTTTCCTCGGTGTGACTTCTGGGAGACTTTAAAAGCTTGATCTGTGAAGACAGCAAAGTCTTAGTTTAGAATTTCCCCCACCCCAGCTTACTTCTTTTTCTTAAACATCTATTCTTCAGTTCTCTCAGGTTAGCAGTTTTGTAATCATCTTTTACTCTGTCTCCTTTAGGCCTATTGTCTGTCTGTCACCAAGTCCTATCTTGGTGGTTCAAATGTTTCTCAATTAACCCCTTCCTCTTAATTTCTGTCCTAATTCAGACCCTGATTCCCTCAGACCTGGATGCCTATTCAACTCTCCTAGCTTCTATTTCCTAGCTACAGTAGCTTCTTCTTCAGTCTATCCTATAATTCACTGCCAGACTGACCTTCCTGAGATGCTGTTTGATCCTGTCTCCCCCTGCCTTGGAATCTGTAATGAGTCTATTTTCTGCCAATGCAAGGCCATGTTCTCCTGCCTGACCTTCAGCTCCCTCTGGATCATCTCTACCCAATAGGTATATAATGCCAGCCATCCACAGCAGTCCAGATTTTCTAGTAGCCACATTAAAAAGTAATCTCTAGTCAGAATGGCCATGTTTCAAGTTCTCAGTGGCCCCATGTGGCTGAATAGTGCAACTCCAGACTGTGCCTCTCTGACTGTCCCCATTCCCCAAACAAGACATACCCACATCTTACTTCCTCCTGGTTTATGAAAACAAAATAGGGATGGTAATACCATGCTTATTTTATAGGATTGTCTTAGGCAAATGTGAAGTGTGAAAGTGCTTTGTAAGCTGTAAAGCTCCATAAAAATATATGAAAATTATTGTCAGAAGTAAAGGCTTTACTGTGGGAGATTGGATACATGTGTAGATACATGTATATGTATGGCTGAGTCTCTTTGCTGTCCAGCTGAAACTATCACAACATTGGTAATCTGCTATACTCCAATATAAAATAAGAAGTTTTAAAAAAGAAAAGTTTTACTGACATAAGAGTAGGATATCTTTGGAGTAATTTGAAATAAAAGACTTTATTAAGAACAATGAGCTGTCTTGAATTCATTTATGAAAAAATCAACTACAAGCAGTGACTGAAGAATATAAACATCTACTTTATCCCACTGGCTCTAAATAATTATCTTTTGGGAAGAATTTTTCACATTAATAAGACTCTCCAGATATTTAAATTCCTCTTTAGGCCTTTTTTCCCCTTCAGCATTCTGAGGACTGGATTTAGGGGCATTAATTCTTCTCTAGAAGAAACTAAACTGCTACCAGGAAGTTTATTGTTTTGGGTAGTAAATGTAGCTCACACACTTTTAGTACTGAGATAGACCTAGCATTAAAATCTCATGTATTATCTAATTCATTGCAAAGGATTGAAATTGGCCTAAAAATTGAATGCCAGTGTTTCAGGTGTAGAAACAAATTTGTAAAACATTTTCAACTCATATGATAAAGGAAATTTTAAGGAGCAATTATTCTGACAGGTGGATTAGTGACAATTTGTACACAATATTTGAAACGCTGATGAGTTATAGGGTGCTTGCTTAGATGGTACTCAAACCTTATCCCAACCCTTTACCAGATTAAGCAGTTCACTATTTTTTCTTTAGTTGTGCCTTGAATTATCTGGTGGCTCTCAGGAGTTCAACACTCACTGCAGATAGAACTAAGATTGCAGTGCAGAAGTTAGATTGCTAAATGAAGTCATTCTGGAAAAAAAAAAAGTCTATAAAGTGGCTTCTGGTTGAAAGACCCCACCATTCACAGGTTTGCCCAAGCCAGAAAACTCAGCCTAATGTATGACCGTTTTTATCCCTCACCCATCCCCCTAATTAGCTACTAAATCCTTCTGACTCCACCCACCTCTGAAATACTTCTTTAATCTGCAGCCTCCTCTCCATCTCCACTGCCCTTGCTCAAGCTTTCATCACGCTTCTTGTAAGTTATTGCAACATTCCCCAAACCAGTTTACCTACCTCAAGCTTCAGCTTCCCCTCCACCCCACAATTTATTCTCCAACTCCCAAGAGAATGATCTTGCTAAAATACAGATATGATCATGCCACTCCCCTAATTAAAAACTTTAAGTCATTCCTAGGGCCGACAGATAAAATCCAAAGTACTGAGCACAATGTACAAAGCACATTACAGTCAGAGCCCAGCTTATCAGCTTTGCCTCCCACCGTGTACCCAGAGCAATAATAATCAAATTACTTGTGGCTCCCCAGGAAGCTCTAGCCTTTTATAAACTCTCTGTTCTCTTCCTTTGGACTGCCCCCCTCCACTCCTCACATCAGTGTGGGGATCCCGTGATCTTCTTTTCCTGCCATTAGACTTCTTCAAATGCCAATCTTCTGTGACAGGCTTTCCTAACTCCCTGGTTATTTGTTCTTTCTGTCCCCATAACTGCATTTCTTATTCCTTTGCTGCTTAAACTCATCAAGGGCTAATTTCTCTCAATATCTCCAGCATGTAGCATTCTTCCCAGCATAGCATAGTTGGTCCATAATAATTGGTTGGATAAATAAAGGAAAGAATTGATACTATCCCTCTCCCCCACCCCCAGCTGTAGACCTTCTCTTCTACTTCAAAGAATAAGTTTTGAATTCAGTGTGATTTATAATCATCTGTTGATATTTCTAAGTATTTGATGAGGACAGTTGAAATCATAATCCTTGCTTTTAAGTAAAATTTAGTTTGTCTAGTTCGATAAGATATTCCTTGAGCCAAAGGAATACATGGGAAGATTTTACCTTTAGATGCTTTGACTTATAGTATATGTTAGGAAACACACACACACAATGCATATTTTTAACTTCACAGAATCCAGACTGTTGGACTGGAAAGGATCTTAAATCAGGATCACCTTCACCTTGAATGGTTATGAAGGTTGGGTACTGTTCAAACCTAGGGGACACCATTCTCATTTGAATGGCTCTCCAGGGTTGTAACAACATACACAGCCTCACACAGTATCCCTGTTTATCTAAATCTCTTCATTTTCAGATAATGAAATTCAGGTCCTAAGAGCCAACAAGTTTGCTCAAGGTTATGCAGGTACTTCATAGTAGGGTACAGGCAATCTCTTCTGCCTCTCAGTTATTCTGACCCAGATTGCTTTAGAAGGCTATGAAACTAGAAAAGATAATATTTGCTCTAGTTGTATGGATAATGGCCTTTAGCTAAACATAAAACTTCAGTCATTTCATTTAGCTTTGCATTATTTGCTCTGGCTTTCCACCTCCAGCTGTACTGGTCTGGTGGGCATGACTTCAGCTTTCAGCGTATTACACGACTGCCCTCAGGGCTACCAAGACTCAGGTTGCCGTTTGTCCCACCAGGTTGCCAAGCTGTGCTGTCTGCTCTCTACCTTGCTGGTCTACTCCTTTGTGACCTGTTAGCTGCACTCTTCTTTTTGCTTCTCCTCTTGGCATTTTGTGCTGTTTTGTTTTTATAGCCGCATTGCTGACCAGTCAACATGGTCCTTTCCTTCTATTCTACAAACCATTCAACCACAGCATATTGGCTGTTGACCTTGAGTTTTTGGTTCTTTGCTACTGTTCATACCAGCTAGGGGTGCCTAGGCTCTGCTGCTTCTTTGCCAAATGTTTTTGTTTCTTTTCTTTCTCCCTTACTCTAGATTTGGGGCTTTCTGAATGCTTAAAGATGCCAGGCAGGTTGTCTCCAGATACTTGTGACTCCATTCCTATAATTCTCCTTATACTTTTGTTTAAAGTGAAAGTATTGTTTGGGAAGAATAATCTTGGTTAGAAAAGCTCAGGTAGGTCAGATGCTCATAATAGTTGATTGTATCAAGGATGATGCGTTAAAAAAAAAATAACTCCTTTCTCTCTTCCTTATTCCATGCTCATCCTCAGTGTCAAACTAAAGTAAATACTGTGGTGTTTTGGTAGGTTTGATTGAGCCTGAATAGAAAACTAGACTTCTTGAGCCAAAGCCCTCCAGCCATAATGGACTGAATTCACTGTTTGCATCTTTGCTCTTGATCATTAACGGTGGCAGATCTTTCTCAAACTGCTTGCTTTAGTTCCACTTGATCAGTCAAGATATAGATATAATATAATTAATGAACTAGTGGGTTTCCCCAATGGCTCAGTGGGTAAAGAATCTGCCTGCAATGCAGGAGATGTGGGTTTGGTCCCTGGGTTGGGAAGATCCCCTGGAGAAGGAAATGGCAACCCACTCCAGTATTCTTGCCTGGAGAATTCTATGGACTGAGGAGCCTGGCAGTCTACAGTCCATGGGGTCGCAAAGAGTCAGACACAACTGAGCAACTAAGCACACACATGCACACAAGGAATTATTGATTCGTTAGAGGTTTGATGCTTGTTATTTAGTGGTTGTTTGCATTTTATATATTGTTCATTGTATAACTGGGAATTTTTTTGTAAATGTTTGGTTTTCAGGCTGGTTGGAAGGAAAATCACGCAACATTCATGAGTGAACTAAAAAATCTTCAGGCTTCTGGACTGACTACTCTTGGTCAGGCTCTAAGATCCTCATTTGATTTGTTAAATCTCAATAGATTAATATCTGGAATAGACAATTATGGACAGGTAAAAATTCTTTGAGTGAGTATAGCTAATTTATTTTGGTGACTTGGGGTAAGAATTTAAAATTGGGCATGGCAACCAAGTTTTCTGCTCCTTTTCATAACATCCAAAAGGAGGTCCATGTGTATTTTAAATATATACTTTAACAAAAATCCTTTAGGGAGAGTCTTTTATGTGCTTTGACCATAAAATAGCTAAAATTGCCTACCCATCAGATCATCAGATATAATGGGATGAATAAATTGCTGAAAAATATTGGAACAAGACAATTAAAGAGAAATTTTCAGAGTCCTTAAGTCCCTCATCCCTCCCAAGTCAACGAAAAAGCTCTATCATAAGAAGAAGGCAGAATAGCATTTGCTGCAGCGATCATTGCACTTTTCTACTGTAAAAACTGCTCAAAATAACCAGAGTCACCATCCAGGTTACAGATATAAGTCACTTATATCCCCCTTTCTATGCCAAGATTCTGAATGGAATCATGGGTGTGGATGATGCTGCCACTGTAATGTCTTTAATATCTTTCATGGTTACCTAGAAAGCAGAGGGTGGGGGGATTTGGATGTTTTAGTTTGAGAGGTTCCTGAATTATAAGAATTCCTCAGTTTATTCTGAATGTTACCTCTGCAGAGATTGTTATTTTGATCCCCACCCACTTCAGTCCCTAATCTTTTCCTTCTTATTTATCCAGGCAAATTTTATCACACACTTGAGAGATCACAGGCAAGATAAATGTAAAAACTGAAATACAATTTTATTACTTTACATGGCTCTAATACTTTTTAAATGTATTTTAGGGACGAAATCCATTTTTTTTAGAACCATCTATTTTAATTACCATCACAGATGGAAACAAGTTAACAAGTACTTCTGGTGTTCAAGAAGAGGTGAGATTTCATTTTTTAAATTTCGTTTAAATGGCAGAGAACATGCAGCTATTTCTGCACGTGGGAGGCATACATTCCCAGTTAAGAATAAATTTAATCAAACGTTCCATCTTGGGAATCCTTGAAAGATTGCCTCATTTTATTGACAACATCAGAGAAAAGTGAACCCTTTAACTCTTGAATTGTCTTCATTTTTGTATGAGTTGTTATGATGAAACTTTTCCAATTTTGCCTTATCAGCTTCATCTGCCTTTGAATTCTCCTCTGCCTGGAAGTGAACTAACTAAAGAACCTTTTCGTTGGGATCAAAGGTTGTTTGCCCTGGTGTTGCGTTTGCCTGGATTGGCTTCTACTGAACCAGAGCAGATAGGGAGTGTACCAACTGATGAATCTGCCATCACACAGATGTGTGAAGTCACAGGAGGTATTGGCGGATATTTACTATTTCTAACGGAAAGAATTCAGGGCAGCAGAGTACCACTTTCCGTAAATGCCATATCCTAGCTTTACTTTTTTCCCTTCTGTATCTTTTAACTCTGCTGCTTAAGCTCATCATTAGTGTCAGGTTTGCTCCCAGTGTGAGCTTCCCTGGTGGCTTGTAGTTTTGATTATTTTGAGTTGTATTTTAGGATTTCAAATGCTTGTATTGTTAAGTAGTATTTTATTTGATCAAACTTGTACTATTTGTTTTTCCTTCTGGTTTAGGTCGCTCCTACTGTGTTAGAACACAAAGAATGTTGAATCAATGTTTAGAATCTTTAGTTCAAAAAGTTCAGAGTGGTGTAGTTATTAACTTTGAAAAAACAGGACCAGATCCACTTCCTATTGGAGAAGGTACAGTAGATCATCTTTTTTTTAACCTTAAAGTGTTACATAGGAGAGCAGTCTGAGACTGAGAAAACATTGAACTAATCGCAAGAGATACTGTCTTCATTAGCCACCCACATTCAAGTGGTTACAAACATCCATCCAAACAACTGCCATTCATCTGTTGCCTGTGGCTACCTTTCTAGCTTTAATTCAATGTCAATTCTTCCTCAGAACATTCTTCCCTTTCCCTGCCCATTTCATATTTCTGGTCCTAGTGTTAGGATGACGCTGAATTATTCACTTCTCTAGTCATGAAATAGCTGGAGATTCACGATGGAGTGCCATTTAACCAGCCACATGGTTTTGGTCTTGTGAGCGCCAATGTGTCAAACTGTCTTGATGAAATCTATATTTGTTACCACACATCAGGAAGAGGTAATGAATGTTTAGCCAGGACCTGCTAGTATTCTATAAGATCCTACACCAGTATTTTCCTGGCCACTGTTCTTCTTTTGGGGGTGAGGGGGAGTCGGGGAGGGCACCACATGGCTTGTGGGATCTTAGTTCCTTGACCAGGGATGGAATGTGGGCCCCTGCAGTGGAAGGGCAGAGTCTTAACCACTGAACCGCCAGGGAAGTCCCTCTTGGCCATTTATTAACCGCAGAACCTTTTGTCTTCAAATGAGATTTTACAGAAACTTCAACATCTCAAAATATGAAAGCAGAGCTACTTTTGTATTGGGAAAGGGAATCATACCCCATTGCATGGCTCCCTCAGAGCTCTGTTCTAGGCCATCACTTGTCTTCATTCCTGACAGTTCATGCACAGCATACATACCCATGTGTACCTAGACTCCATCATCACCACAGTGCTTGTCTGATCTGATTCATACATTTTAATTGCTGTGGCTACAATTAGTGGTAGCTGCCTGGAGAGGCAAAAGGGTAAGTGCAAAGGGGCAGAAAGACACATTTCTTGCTGAGGCAGTGGATCCTATGGTCTCTGAATTTTTTGCTTTTTAGCCTCTAAAACCCTTTAAGAAGCTAGTGGAAAAATAGAGACCCCTCTCTCCAGAAAAATGTACATGGACAACACATGCACACATAGTTTTGTATTTCATTTCAGGGGTTCTTGGACTCCAATTAAAAAACACCTACTATAGACATAGATAATGAACTTGTGGACACAGGGTGGGAAGGGGAGGGTGGGAGGAAGTGAGAGAGTAGCATTGACATATACACACTACCATGTGTAAAATACATAGCTAAGGGGAAGCTGCTATATAGCAGAGGGAGCTCAGCTCAGTGCTCTGTGATGATCTAGAGGGGTGGGATGGGGTGGGGGGGTGGGAGAGAGGTTCAAGAGGGAGGGAATATATGTATACTTATAGCTGATTCATGTTGTTGTACAGTAGAAACAAATATAGCATTGTAAAGCAATTATCCTTCAATTAAAATATAAGTTTTAAAAAACATATGTAGAGATGGCCGAGGACTTCTATGAATAAATTTATAGAACTCTACCAAGAGAAACAAAAAGTCTGTATTAAATGGAGATGTACCATGTGTTTGACTGGGAAGAATGGATAGTGTGAAGGTATCACTTCTCAAATAAATATACATATATGTATTTTATGTACTTTGATCTAAAGAATTTTAACAGGATTTTTGAGAAAAAAATAAATAAAATAAATAAAATAATAAATGCTAAATACCTTAAGAAACACCTGCTGTAGAAGACTGAGGCCTCACAGCATATTTCAAAGTAATTAATTGTAACTGAAGGACATGTTGTATTGGTAATGATAGACCATTCAAGTCCATGATTTTGTGTTCATTACCTTCCCATGAACTGGGAACTTTCCTATTGAAAACCAATTAGATCATGCCATATAAATACCTCAAGCATTCTTTCTAGCTCCATTTCCCCTTTGTCCAGAGTTCTTAACCTTTGAGATTCTGATGAAAGCTAAGAATTTTCTCCTCAGAAAAATCCACATCCCCAGAACTGTGAACTAACTCAACTTCAGAGGGGGTTCTTTTGGTTCCCTCAAGCCATTATATGTATTCTCTATAGCTCCATGGACCTCAGTAAATCCCCTTCTCTAAAGTAATTACTTGTTTAAAGTAATGCTTAAATAAGTAAATCAAATGATATGTAATTTAAGAAAAACATGAGACTCGAATCATTATCACATATTTTTTGCAATTATAATTCAGACTAATGAATCATAACATTAAAGGTTATGTAACTCTGCCTTGCCCTGTTTTCAGGGGGTAAATGAAATATACTAGCTCAAATAATTAAAATACACTCATGGTATATTATTCAGCATTATATGATGCCCAGTTTCCATGGGATTTTAATATGGGTGAAGAAGGAAACTGTAATGAAGTAGTCCATATAAACTTGATGCATTCACTTTGTGTTCCCTCCCCAACTATATACATACATTGATTGTATTGTCATCATTCCTTCTACCTTTTAGTGAATTTGCCTTTGTGGTCATTGGGTCTAACTGTTTAGTAAAGAATACTTTTTTAATCTAGTTGAAAAAAAAATCTAAATGGAGTTTATGACTTATTTTGTCAGACTCCAAAAATGTGAAACTATACCAGAGAATGAACAATTTTCATACGCCTAATTTGAAAAAATAACTTGTAGTTTAGTGTGTTTAATCTGTGTCAAATCTCAGAAAATTTAAAACTAACTTTATGACAGTTTTCCATATAACTACCTATTTTGGTTATAGTTAAGGGTGAAGGGTATGGGATGTCAGATTAGAGGGGTTGGATTAGATGATAAAAGAGTTGCAATTGTAAAGCAACTGTACTCCAATAAAAATAATAATAATAAAAACAAAAAACAAAAATAGAAAAGAGTAGCTAGAGAGAACATTTAGAAAGTCTAGTGGAGTCACTTTTTTTCTTCCATCTTTCATGAATCACTGTTTTGATCTTGTTTTGTACTTTGATTTTAACTGAAAAATCTGTACAAGGAGATCAGTGGCTATACAAAGAAATTCATGCCTTAGTCTGTCTTTTGTTTAACTTTCAGATGGACTTATGGATTCATCCAGGCCAAGCAATTCATTTGCTGCTCAGCCATGGCATAGTTGTCATAAGCTCATTTATGTGCGGCCTAACTCTAAGACTGGTGTTCCTGTTGGACATTGGCCAATTCCAGAATCTTTTTGGCCAGATCAGAATTTACCTTCACTAGTAAGTGTCATAAAACAAAAAGGTAAACATCATTCTGGATTTTCAATTAGCTGATTACAGAGAACTGTTTAAAATAGCTTGGAAACTTTTAAACTGTGCCTTCTATCACTTACTGGAAAGTCTAGCGTGTACCTAAAAGCAAGAGAGGACTTCCTTTCTGTTAGGGCATTCTTTCTTTCAGTTGCCTTTACCACTTAATCTACCCTCTTTAGATTTTAAAATACCGTTATTTTTGATGCTGTTGCAATCTGTGGCTCAGTTTTTATTTCAGAGCCGCTGACTGGATTTCTGTGGTAAACACAATGTATAAAAAGGGCAGGCATTGATTTTCATGTACATCCTCAGGAAATTAGAACTTAGTTTACACTGTGTATAGGTTCTAGAAACGTTTTCAAAGCAGAGATTCATTTATTATCTGAGGGAGCCATTGGACATGTAGTGGGACTTTGTGGGCCTACTTTTCAGTATTTTTATAATCAGTGGACTTGAGCTCCTTGGCAGTGTACTTTTCAGTTCAGTTCAGTTCAGTCGCTCAGTCGTGTCCGACTCTTTGCGACCACATGGACTGCAGCACGCCAGGCTTCCCTGTCCATCACCAACTCCCAGAGTTTACTCAAACTCATGTCCATCCCGTCGGTGATGCCATCCAACCACCTCATCCTCTGTTGTCCCTTCTCCTCCCACCTTCAATCTTTCCCAGCATCAGGGTCTTTTCCAATGAGTCAGTTATTTGCATCAGGTGGCCAAAGTATTGGAGTTTCAGCTTCAGCATCAGTCCTTCCTATGAATATTCAGGACTCATCTCCTTTAGGATGGACTGGTTGGATCTCTTTGCAGTCCAAAGGCCTCTCAAGAGTCTTTCAATGATGAGCAATTAAGCAATATTTTTAAAATGATCTCTAAGCAAAGATTTGTCTTTTTGTTCACTATATTTGGTGGAACAGGATTGGATACTGTAGTTGCTCCATATGAAACCTATTCTCCCTTTCATCCTCCTCCCTCCTCCCAGCCAATATAAAAAGGCCAGAGCAATCCTTGGGGCATCCAGGTGTCTCAGTGACAAAGAATCCACCTGCCAATGCAGGAAACGTGGGTTCAGTCGATCCCCTGGAGAAGGAAATGGCAACCCACTGCAGAATTCTTGTCTGGAAAATCCCATGGACAGGGAAGCCTGGCAGACTACAGTTCATGGAGTCACAAAGAGTTGTACATGACTTAGTAACTAAACGGCAACAACAATCCTTGCTAGGGGTGGGGCGGGGAAAGAGGCACAAAAAGGTCACTGCTTTTCCACTACCTTCCAGATTCAGCCAATCTATAGTCTATATAAATTTTAGACATTTCTGACATGAACTGCATTTTTCTCCTGATTGCTATTTTGAGGCCTCTGAATTTTTTTCAGAGGTGCCCATGGAAGGCCATAATATATGACTAAAGAGCCATCTTCAGTCCCTGCAGTGGGTGAGGCTCCATCTCCTTGTCTGTCCCTCAGGACGCTGAGGTGGCATGCCTGTTAAACCTCAGAGCCCAGTTACTGTCAGCTCCTTCAAACCCCAGAGTGAATGTTTTAGTTACAAATCTGCATCATTATTGCTGGTGACAGGGTTTCACTCATGTCTTTTATAGATTTCAATCTAATAAATCAGAAATATTTCACAAGTTTGATTAAAATTAAAATCAGGGGGAAAAAACAGAATTGAAGAAATTCCAGGTAACTCAGATAGCTCGTGTTACCATTCCTCCAGGTTTTTTTTTCTTTCTGTTTTTAAAATTTTGGCTACATGACAGGGCATGTGGGATCCTAATTCCCCAACCAGGGACTGAACCCATGGCCTCCACATTGGAAGTGCAGAGACCCAACCACTCGATCACCAGGGGCAGTCCCATCCTCCAGCTTTAAAAGCACATTGGAAGGCTATTTTTCTCAGTCTCCAAAACCTCTTGTAGGTTTGTAAATCATAAAGGCAAATTAGCATGTTTTCCCCTTTTATAAAGAAAAGGAGATGTTTTATCATATTCACATCAGCCTTACAGATCTCTCAGCAAGAATACACAGAGCCATGTTTCACTCTTGACCCTGTGACTTGTCCTATCTCTTTCTCTCTCCATTTGCCCTTGCTGCCACCATTTCTCTCACTGGTGCTCTCCATCCCCACAAGCTAAACCCATTAATAAAATGACTGCTCCATCAATCTGCTCTGGTACCCCAGGTACACGGGCCTTTCAGCCCAGCCAAAAGCATCCCCATCTCTAGCTGTTCAGAAAGTGTCTGGGTGTGAGAAATGCTATAAAAATTCAGCTGCAAGGAAAATTTCAGCCAGGCCCTGGAGTTGTGACCGGCTCATTTTCAGTCCCTATCTTGCCTTTTCCATTCCTTTATAATTGTTCATCTTGCTTGTTAGTGGCTCCAGCTCTGTCATTACCTCAGTAGAAAGCTTCATGGATTTCCTCTTCCCTAGCAGTTTCTGACTTATCTGAAACCTTACAATACAAAGTAGTGAAGGGAAGATAGTCCTTGAATGTCACAAAGTGGATCTGAATTTCAGGGTTCTTAATATTCAAGGCAGTTTTACTTTTTCCTTCCCTAAAACTGTAGTTATGAGTGTTAAAATTTACCTTTCTTCTTTCCAATGCCAAGTAGATGGTAGAGCGAAAGAATCTGAGTCCCCTCTGCCATTGATGACACTTAGAGCTCAAGAGCCATCTTTCTCAAAGCAGCCATCTGTATCTCAGCGATGGTTTAACAAAACATAAAAGAGTTGCATGTAACTATGGCTGATTCTTGTTGACGTATGACAGAACACCACAAAATTCTGTAAAGCAATTATCCTTCAATTAATTTTTTTTTAAAAAAACGGATGACCAACAAGGACTTAAAAAAAAGAGTTTCAGAGTTGTCAGATATGTCAACTGTCTTGATAACAGATTGTATTTTCCCCTCTTGTTTTTTAGCCTCCACGAACATCTCATCCTGTTGTGAGGTTCTCCTGTATAGATTGTGAGCCAATGGTAATAGACAAACTTCCCTTTGACAAATATGAACTTGAACCGTCACCCTTAACTCAGTACATCCTTGAACGAAAGTCTCCCCATACTTGCTGGCAGGTACTTCCCCTTTGTTGTTAGCCAAATGTCTGGAACCACTCGGAGATCTGGGAATTGTTGAAAGAACTTTCAAAGGTTAATCTGGGAATAGTTGGGCTGAGTCTATTAATAATGTTTCTCACAAATGCTATCAAGTAAGCAACATGGCTAAGCTAATAACTTCAGGCTGATATGAATCACTAGCCTACCATACATTGCCATTTAAGGAACCTGATGAAACCTACATATTTGAGAATTTGGAGGACTCCCCTGAAGCCTGTCCAGGGACCCCAGGTTAAGAATTCCTAGCCTAAAGGATGTAATTCTATTCAGCTATGGCTTCTGCAGCTGAAGCAATGTTCTCAGTCCTTATTGTGAACTTGACAGATTGGACAGAGGGTTTTGTTTTGTTTTGTTTTGGTCAAACCACACGACTTGCAGGATCTTAGTTCCCCAACCAGGGATCAAGCTCACGCCCTCTGCAGTAAAAATGTAGAGCCCTAACCACTGGACTGCCAGGGAATTCCCAGTAAGACATTTTTGACAAACAAAACAAAACAAAAACATAAAGCTGAAATTACTTTATGTATTAGTATTATGTAATCAAGCTCTTCTTGTAGTACAAACCACACTGGTGTGTGTGGTATGGATTTTCCTTGGATGAAGGAGATGCATAGGCAGATGTACAACACTGACTCTTCCAAGAGGTATAGTTCAGCCAGGAGGGCTTGCTTATTTGTCAATAGACTCACCTTTGGATTTTAATTTGTGAAAATCCATATGTGGTAATCACAGCTATTTTATTTGAATATAATAAGGAAGTCCTACACTGTAAGAATGTTTGTTCTATTTCTAAACTACAGCAATCGGTAATTGTTACCTTTTACTTACTCAAGGAACACTTTCAGACCATCTGTTTCAACCTAAAATGTGAAATCATTGCTACTAGTTGTCTTTAAACTACTTGAATTCTACCAAGTTGCTAAAACTGGGTAGAAAAAAAAGGAACAGGTGTAAAGCAAGGATGTAAAAGTGCAAGAAACAGAGTGATCTCATAAATATAATACTGAGCAAAAGAAGCCAGACATAAAAGATCACATATCATATGATTCAACTTTATATAGTTCAAAAAGATGTAAGATTGCCTTTTATTTTGTTAAAGGTCAGGAGAGTGATTTCTCTTGGGGGTACAGAATGGTGACCAGAAAAAGACACGACGGGTTTTCTGGTCAGGTTCTATTTCTTGATCCAGGTTCTGATGACACATATACATTCATTTTTTAAATATTCATTGAACTGTATACTTATAATTCATGCATTTTTGAATTATGTTTATATTTCAATAAAATACACCAAAATGTGCTAGAAATGTAGGGATAGGGATGAGAGCATGCTAAGTTAAAATCAAGGCAAAAGCTTGAATTTATGAATTGAAAAACATTTTGGAATAAAAGCATATAAAATTACAAATTACAGTTTCCCCCCCAAATAAACCCTTTATTCTATATAGCATCTTCCTTGAAATCTTCTCCAAAGGAACTTAAGAAATCCTGTCCTTGATCCTTGCAGCACCCCTTAAGTATGCCATATGTCTTTCTCTTGCATCTTATGTTACTTTGGTTTAGAGTAGTTTAATGCGATGAATTAGTGGGAATGAAAAAGAATAAGATGAACCAGGAGCCAGGAAATTTTGGGAAGTCATAATGGAAACTGGATTCTAACCCTAGCTTTCCCACCAACTATGTGGTTTTTGGACCAGACGCTTTCTCTAGACTAGATGATCTCTAATGATCCCTTTGGACCCCCAAATTCTGTGAATCTGCAGGTGATAAAAGAATTTGGGAAAACTCAAAGGGCTTATGGGAAGGAAGGAAGGTATGAGGATGGGAAGGGAGGAAATAAAGACAGAAAGAGGGTGAGCAAGGAACAAAAAACAGTGCTTCTCCTTTCAGAGGAGTTATAGGTATGATCCTTGCTGGCTATAACTTTTTTATCCTTTATGATGATTTCCCCCTTTCTATTATACACACCTAGGAAATAGGAGGAAATCCAACATGTGGTGAAAGTCACTCAGTCGTGTCCGACTCTTTGTGACCCCATGGACTGTACAGTCCATGGAATTCTCCAGGCCACAATACTGGAGTGGGTAGCCTTTCCCTTCTCCAGGGGATCTTTTCAATCCAGGGATCGAACCCAGTTCTCCTGTATTGCAGGCAGATTCTTTACCAGCTGAGCTACCAGGGAAGCCCGGGCCCAACATGTTTTATTACAATTGTCTGTTTCTGTTAAGGTTCAAATTAAGAGATGAAATCTAGTAGATGAGTCATGTTTTAACACAATCCATTGTTTCGTGGAGGCATCCATTACATAGGAAAGATTTATTTTGAGCTACAGCTAAGTATAGAAAGAATTCAGTGAACTGGTAGGTGATGTTGCTGGTTGAACAAGAATTAGCAAAGTAAGTGGGTTCTGTTCACCATCAGGGTTTGACTTCTGTCTTAAATACCCTGATGAAGGATGTTAGAAAAGGTAAAGGTCTAGGTCCATAAAATTATATACTAATGTCCTGATTTGGCCAAAGAGTGAACGTGGAACACAGAGAAATCATGATAGCTAGAGGACTCCAGAATAGCGTATCAGGTGAATGGGACCTGACAATATCATATATGTCAAATCAGGAATAAGGAATAAGATGCTAGTCATATGGAATAAAGATTAATGTTCTCATTTTTATTGAATGTTTGTTCCACCAGGATTATTTACGATAGAAAATGCCTTCCAGATTGAACCAAAGCATCTCCTTGCTGAATATAATTGTCTCAAAATAATTAGCACCAGTGCCTGGCTTGTAATAGACTCCTCAATAAATATTTATTAGATGAAAAATGAATAAATGGGTAGGGAAATTGTTGCATCAAAGGGAAGTAGAGCAAGACTTAATAGTAGTTCACATAAGGAGTGTTAGCATAATCCTTTAAATGGGCTTTGTTTTTGTAATTGCATGCTTTAGGCGTGGGGCCATGTTCCATTTTCCTAAGTCTCCACTCTGGTCACTACTTGTTCTTTTGAGAGGTCAATTTGTTTTAATGGCTGGTATCACTTAGTGGTATTTCAGCCTAATTTTCCATTGTGCTAATCAAGTAAATATTTGGGTATTGTTGATGCCGCCTGTGGTCTCCGAATGGTTATTTCATTTCCTAACACAATTTATAAAAGAATTGCAATCTGAACATTCTTATTTTTTGACATAAATATAGAGAAAGCAGTATTCCCATTTTTAAATTACAATTGTGCCATAGATGCTGGTATAGCATATTGCTGTGAGTTTGATTTGACATAAAATCCTTATTGTCATAACTGTACATTACTTCATGATCTTCTCAGGTATTTGTTACTAGCAGTGGAAAATACAATGAACTTGGATATCCATTTGGTTATTTAAAAGCCAGTACGACTTTAACTTGTGTAAACCTCTTTGTGATGCCGTACAACTACCCAGTTTTACTCCCTCTTTTAGGTAAGTCAAGTATGTGCCATTCAGCCATTTTTTCAGTGTGGTGGTAGTTTAGTTGCTAAGTTGGGTCTGACTCTTTGTGACCCTATGGACTATAACCCGCCAGGCTCCTCTGTCCATGGAATTTCCCAGGCAAGAATACTGGAGTGGGTTGCCATTCCCTTCTCCAGGGGATCATCCCTGCCCAGGGATTGAAGCCAGGTCTCCTGCATTGCAGACAGTTTCTTTACCGCTGAGCCACCAGGGAAGCCCTTAGTCATCTTTAAAATACAGCAAAAAAGAAAAGATGACGATGAACTAAGCATTTTAAATGTATCCAAAAAGTAATGGGTGTCAGGATATATAAAAGTCAAAAAACTGATTCAGAAAGATAGAATTAGCATCCTGCTTTCTGTTGTGTTCGTTTTCCTTTTGTTGTTTTTGCATCAGACAGAAGAGACACTTCACCTGGGAAAGTGGAAGTATTAGTCACTCAGTCCTGTCTGACTCTTTGTGACCCCATGGTCTGTAGCCTGCCAGGTTCTTCTGTCCATGGGATTCTCCAGGCAAGAATACTGGAGTGGGTTTCCATTCCCTTCTCCGGGGAGTGGGTGTATGATTCTTATGCTGCTCTTTGGTTTGCAAGCTCCAATGTTGTCACCCCTCTTCTTTTTTTTTTAATATGTGTGTGTACACACTTCCTTGTTTTCTTATTGTTTCACTTATTTGCATTTATTGTGTTTTTGGCTATGCCACAAGGCATGCAAGATCAAACTTGTGGCCCCTGCATTGGAAGTACAGAGTCCTAACCACTGGACGGCCAGGGAATTCCCACTTCTCTCCGGTTTTAAGTGCACTTGGCTTTTGGTAAACTAATTTGGGCACCCCCAAAATTGATTGTGGTTAACACTTCAAGAATCTGATGGTCTTTTCAGAAAGTAGGGCTTCCATGGCGTTACTGGATTGCAGTTAGTTCCTCTACAAAAGAATACGAAATACTCTTGAGGCATCTGTTTTAAGCAAGGTAGCAAGTTAAGGAAATAGATACAAGAGTGACTTCTGCAATAACTGCAGTTGTAGAAGCTGTGGTTTCCATGGCAAAATTCTAAAAGGAACAACTCCAGAAGCTGTTACTCAGACATCACTGAGAATGTGTGTGGGGATTTTTTTTTTTCTCATTTAAGGAGCCACGTCTGTTTAGAGTAATATAGTACTGCATGGTATCCTTCTCGTCGTAAAGTTATGAACATTTTTAATTGCTGAGGTTTCTTAATTTTTTCAAAAAGAATCAAACCTTTACCAAGTTTTAATATAGTCATTAAAAGCGTAAGATTTTTTAGTGCTATAAACAGTCTATGTATCAAATGTCTTGATAAAGCAGTTCTTTTAAATGTTGCAAATGAAGAAAATTAAGACTGGGTCATCATAAATGATTGTTTTGGCTAGCCTGTTTACTTTATTTCTTTGTCTACTCTAAAAATATCCTCTAAGAGATGATTGTCACTTACATAAAATATAGATTATGTCTTTGAGATTAACAGTACTACCAATAAAAAGTATTTTGTGGGTTTATTTACCCTGTTTTATTAAATATACCTTTATGACCTCTGGTTTTCACAGCTATAAAATGAAGGATCAAACTAGCTAATCTTCACTTAAACTGTTAAGAGTATTATTTTTCTGTTTTTTAAGTACACTTTTTATTTTGAGATAATTGTGGATTCATATGCAATTGTAAGAAATGATAAAAAAAAAAAAGAGAGACAACACCAAAAGCGCAGACAACAGAAGCGAAAATAAATACATGGGACTACATCAAACTTAAAGACTTTAGTGGATCAAAGGATACAGTAGAGAGCAAAAGGAAACCTATGAAATGGGAAAAAAAATGCAAATTGTCTATCTGATCATTTGGGGGAAGGCTCTATCCAACCCTGCCTAGACCATCATTATCCCTTTGCAAACATTCCAAACCAGAAACCCCAGAGGCATCTTTGATTTCTTCCCTTTCCCTGATCCCACACATCCGTTTGAGGTTCACCTCATCCTTGACTCAGTTCGTATTCTTCCCTTTGGCCTCAAATATCCATTTCTAGGCTTTTCTATAACCTGTGTCTTCCAAGGAGCATAGGGTTTTTTACACCCTTTGAGGCTGAGGTCCTTGTGCCCTTGAATCCCTAACTTGGGTTTCATATTGAGGTTCTGCAATAGTTTCCACCCATACTTGAGCCATTACTTCACTTTCTGGGTTTTGTGGTTTCCATAGAGATTTGGAGTCTGAACTGTAGGGTATAGCTGCCCTGATAATGAATTTTGGCTTGCTGTTTGTTAGCTTCATGACCCTGGATAAGATACTTAATCTCTCTGTGCCTCAACTATTTCATCTGTAAAGTGGGGATGATAATAATACCTACCTGAAAAGGATTTCATTGGGGTTAAATGCATTGTGTTAGTCGCTCAGTCATGTCTGACTCTCTGCAATCCCATGGACTACAGCCTGCCAAGGCTCCTCTGTCCATGGAATTCTCCAGGCAAGAATACTGGAGTGGGTAGCCATTCCCTTCTGCAGGGGACTTTCCTTACCCAAGGATCAAACTCGTGTGTCCCACATTGCAGGCATATTCTTTATTGTCTGAGCCACCAGGGAAGCCCTTAATACAGTTAAATTGCATTGAACTCACCTGGCAAAAAGTAAGTGTTCAATAATGTTATCAGTCATTATTGTCTGATTAATAATACTGTTGTCATTATTAATATCTATGTTATCTTAGTATCTCTTGAACCCCTGATATTCCATATAATATAATTATATATTCTAATTACATATAAGGATATAATATAAATATATAATATAATATAAAGATATGGGACAGTTTTGTAGTTTTAGAAGGCAGTTCAGTTCAGTCATTCAGTCATGTCTGACTCTTTGCGACCCCATGAACTGCAGCATGCCAGGCCTCCCTGTCCATCACCAACTCCCAGAGTTTACTCAAACTCATGTCCATCGAGTCGGTGATACCTTCCAACCAACTCATCCTCTGTCATCCCCTTCTCCTCCTGCCCTCAATGTTTCCTAGCATCAGGGTCTTTTCCAATGAGTCAACTCTTTGCATCAGATGGCCAAAGTATTGGAGTTTCAGCTTCAACATCAGTCCTTCCAATGAACACCCAGGACTGATATCCTTTAAGATGGACTGGTTGGATCTCCTTGCAGTCCAAGGGACTCTCAAGAGTCTTCTCCAACACCACAATTCAAAAGCATCAATTCTTTGGTGCTCAGCTTTCTTTATAGTCCAACTTTCACATCCATACATGACCACTGGAAAATCCATAGCCTTGACTAGATGGACCTTTGTTGGCAAAGTAATGTCTCTGCTTTTTAATATGTTGTCTAGGTTGGTCATACTTTCCTTCCAAGGAGTAAGCATCTTTTAATTTCATTGCTGCAGTCACCATCTGCAGTGATTTTGGAGCCCCCCAAAATAAAGTCAGCCACTGTTTCCACTGTTTCCCCATCTATTTGCCATGAAGTGATGGGACCAGATGCCATGATCTTAGTGTTCTGAATGGTGAACTTTAAGCCAACTTTTTCACTCTCCTCTTTCACTTTTATCAAGAGGCTTTTTAGTTCTTCTTCCCTTTCTGCCATAAGGGTGGTGTCATCTGCATATCTGAGGTTATTGATATTTCTTCCAGAAATCTTGATTTCACCTTGTGCTTCATCCAGCCCAGCATTTCTCATGATGTACTCTGCATATAAGTTAAATAAGCAGGGTGACAATATACAGCCTTGATGTACTCCTCTTCCTATTTGGAACCAGTCTGTTGTCCCATGTCCAGTTCTAACTGTTGCTTCCTGACCTGCATACAGGTTTCTCAAGAGACAGGTCAGATGGTCTGGTATTCCCATCTCTTTCAGAATTTTCCACAGTTTATTGTGATCCACACAGTCAAAGGCTTTAGCATAGTCAATAAAGCAGAAATAGATGTTTTTCTGGTACTCTCTTGCTTTTTTGATGATCCAGTGGATGTTGCCAATTTGATCTCTGGTTCCTCTGCCTTTTCTAAAACCAGCTTGAACATCTGGAAGTTCACCGTTCACGTATTGCTGAAGCCTGGCTTGGAGAATTTTGAGCATTACTTTACTAGCGTGTGAGATGAGTGCAATTGTGCAGTAGTTTGAGCATTCTTTGCAGTTGCCTTTCTTTGGGACTGGAATGAAAACTGACCTTTTCCAGTCCTGTGCCCACTGCTGAGTTTCCAAATTTGCTGACATATTGAGTGCAGCACTTTCTTTTAGGATTTGAAATAGCTCAACTGGGATTCCATCACCAGGGCGTTTAGTAAAAAGTCGTGAATTTAAGTCATGTACACTTTGATGTCTGGAACATCCTTATGGTACTGCAGAGTACAATAACTTTCCATAAAAGTGACCCCTGTTTCCTGTTTATTAATTAAAGATTTTCATCAAAAGTAGTTAAGAAAAGTTTATTTAAGCACTAAAATTTACCTGGGTGAGGTTTAATTGGATCAATGAGCTACCATAAGAATCATGTCAGTACGGTGGTAACCAGATTATCACAGATGGAAAGATTCTCTCTCAACTGGGAAATTAGGAATTTTTTTTCTATTGAGGGTCATTAATTAAAGCATTTGTAGCAACTTGTCTTTTTTTCCTCTTCTTAAATATGCCACATTCAATCACTTATTTTGAAAAAATTAAGAACTGGGAACTTGTGTAAAGAATAAAGCTCATCTCCATCTTAAGACCAGTTATTATCAGGAAGGGGAAAAGAGAATAATTGAAAAAGGATAATTTGATATTTATTTATCACTGTATATCCAGTGCTTTGCAGTTTATGCTATTTATAAATTTTGTATATTGTTTTCACATCCATAATCTAGTTCCTCAGAACAATCCTATGGGGTAAGGCGATGGTCATTAAACTCATTTTATGGATGAAATGGAGGCACAAAACAGTTAAGTGATTTACTGAAGCTCACTGAGCTAAGTACATAGCATGTGTCTGAGCTTGGACTCAAACCCCACCTTTTTGAAGCAGGAAATGGGGAGAAAGGAACCGAAAGAGAAAATATCTGTAGTTTTTGAAGTGTTGACAGTGTCGTTTTACTCTCATTCCACACTCTCACCTCCTCATCTTTCAAATGTGGATGAGCTCATTGTTCATGGTATCTTTACCACTCTGCAGATTCCATGTGAATGGAAATCTAATACCATGGAAATCATTTTCTGAGCAACAAAGATAGTAACTAAAGCAGTGTAAGCTTCCCTGATGGCTCAGATGGTAAAGAGTCTGCCTGCAATGTGGGAGAACCGGGTTTGATCCCTGGGTTGGGAAGAAGATCCTTTGGAGAAGGAAATGGCAACCCACTCCAGTACTGTTGCCTGGAAAATTCCATGGACAGAGGAGCCTGGTAGGCTACAGTCTATGGGGTCACAAAAGCAGTGTCACCCTAACTGCTCTCTACCCTTAATCTAGTCAGTGAGAGATTTTCTTCGTCTCACCCCCATTAAAAAATAAATCCAACAAGAAATAACTAGACTAAATTAGCTCCTGGGTAGAATCATTGCAATTGGCATTGTTAGAAATATTAAGACTATTATTGACTCTCATTATCTAATCTATATCTAAATGTCTCTTCAGTCTGGTGATATTTAAATTTGTCAGTTTCCAAAATCTGCCTAATTCCCCACAGACTTCACACAAAGACACAGTATAACAGGATATTTCCACGGTCTATCTATCCTTTGTCAAGATGTGAATGGTCTTTAAGGACCTGCATGCTGCAGTGAGCCAGAAATCTCTTCAGATCTTTTTCCCTTTGTTCTTTCTACCCTGTACCAAAAGAAGAAAAGACCTACGTTTTATGGCTTTGTAAATTCATTTAAATTAGCTTCAGCAGGAGTGAATAATTTATTGTAGCAGTAAAAGGAAGAAAATATGTAATTGCCTTTCTTAACCAGAGTAATTCATAATTTCAAAGAATAGCCCTACTTGTAGAGAAATTATGCATACAGCATAGAGATGGTTTTGTTCCTAGAAGTAAAGCATTTGTTTTTTTGGATAAAAGCCAGTTAAACCTGAAGAAACAATGTAGAGAATGAATTTATAATATCTTTGCTATTTATAATAAGTGCAGCAGGTTCATGTTTGTTGATGTCTGGGGATATCAACTTTGAATTATTATATTAAAATTTTCTTACCCTTGGAAGGAAATAATGAGACATTTTGGAAATTCTTCATGTAGTGTACATAATGCATTTAAATAACTAAATTTGAGTGTGAAAATATAGGGAATATCTGCTTATTTAAAGAGTATCTTTAGTTGTATTAATAATCCACATGATATTCAAGAACCATATTTATTGAGGTATAATTGACATATTCTATTAGCTTCAGATGTGCAACATAATGATGTGATATTTGTATATATTGCAAAATGATCATCACAATAAATCTAGTTAATATCTGTCACTGTACATAGTTCCAATTTTTTTCTTGTGATGAAAAAATTAAGATTTACTCTCTCAGTAACGTTCAAATATGCAATACAGTGTAGTTAACTATAATCATGCTGTACATTACATTCCCCATGACATTTCTGTTATAACTGGAAGTCTGTATTTAAACCCCTTTAAGCATTTCAACCCCTCCACCCCTCACCTCAGGCAACCACCAATCTGTTCTCTGTGTCTATGAGTTTGTTTTGTTGTTGTTTTAGCATTCTCTTTTTTAAAAAAATAAATAAATATTCCATCAACCAGTGACCATGGATTCATCATTAGCTGAAAATGACTACACTAGAATTACCAATACATAAGAGGCCAGCAGGGCTTCCCTGGTGGCTCAGTGATAAAGAATTTGCCAGCCAGTGCATGAGACACAGGTTTGATCCCTGGGTTGGAAAGATCCCCTGGAGGAGGGCATGGCAACCCACTCCAGTATTTTTGCCTGGGAAACCCCTGAAGAGAGGAGCATGGAGGGCTACAGTCCATGGGGTTGCAAAAGAATCAGAAACGACTTAGCAACTAAACAACAAGAGGTCAGAGAAATATTTCACATAGATCAGAGTCATTGTTTTAATATTATGCTATGTGGCTTCACAGATGAAAGATAAATATGTAACCTGAGAATTTATTCCATTTTCTAGAAAACTACTATATATAATTTTGGTACACAGTACCCCTCCCCAAATCAAATAAACTTGAATGAAATATTCATCTAATGTAATTGAAACTAGAAATTTCTAGGGAATGGTATAATAGATGTGTGTTGCTTGATTTAGATCTTGGAATTTAGGACTGGAATAATGTAATATTTTCTTGGATTTTCTCTTGCAGATGACTTGTTTAAAGTTCACAAGCTTAAGCCAAATCTGAAGTGGCGACAGGCTTTTGACAGCTACTTAAAAACTCTGCCTCCATACTACTTATTAGTATGTATTTCTGTACATATATATATATGTATTAACTCTATCCATGATGATTCCTGTCACAAAAAATGTCAATGAATCAAAAACTTCACCCCTGAAATAAGATTTTCTTTAATTTATACATTTGAGTCGCCATTGTCTTTTCAAATTATGCCTAAGAGCTTGGAGATGTCATGGCGGCACAGAAGAGAACTGCTTATTTTATTTCCTTTAACTGCCATGGTTATCATTATAAAACACATCTATATTTCTCTTATAAAAAATAAACTTATGATATTATAATTTTGGAATTTAAGAAAAATATAACTGGATTCATGTATTATATCAACCTCCCTTTTTAACTCTAGAAATTCGAAGTATGGGGTTTTCCTCTGGAAAAAAAACACAAAACCTGACGACATTATATTTACTTATTGCTTGGTAAATGTGTCCTAAGCACAGCATGAAATAGAGGCACTGATTGAAGGGAATCCCAAAAAAGTAAAAAATGACTTGGTGTCATTTGGATTTTTACAATTTGAGAAAAATATTCATAATTATTTTGAACTGGTCGTATAATCTAAATCAAGATTATCAAAATCATTTCAAGAGGTGGATGTGGTCAACTTTAAGCCAAGTTTCTAGAGGTGAAAAGGCAGAATCTCAAGTGGTACCATTTGTGTCACTGGGAGGAGAAATTGGGGTGTGTTAGTATTTACCATGGCAGGAATGGGGTACACAATTAAATGTAATGAGAAATGATTTTATGACTTGGAAATTAAGACTGAAAGCAATTTGCCTGTTTGAATTTGCTGTTACTTGCTCTTCTTATCCCACTCTCTTCTGATTTTTTTACTTTCTGCTCCTTACTTCTCTGCTATTTTCATTGCCACTTTTTAATGTTCCATGTTTGGTTTTATGTGCAGCACCTTGACTTCTAAGAAATGAATCATGTCCCTTTGCCCCTTATAACTGAACTTTGAGTATTTTAAGATTTATTCTATTCTTACTGTTGTGTATTTTGTTTCCTTATAGCCATTAAAGAAAGCACTAAGGATGATGGGAGCTCCAAATCTGATATCAGATAATTTAGATTGTGGACTTAGTTACAGTGTTATCTCTTACCTTAAAAAACTCAGCCAACAGGTAGTATTGGTAAAAACAAACAAACAAAAATCCTTTGCCCTCAGAAGTGCATTTCCTTATTCTTTAGTGTAATTGTAATTTTCAAATTAAATGTGTATATATTTCTACACTTTATGAATTAGTAGTAATGTGATTCTCTATGGCTTCTGGCTTCACCATTAAACTGCAGTTAAGGGTCTGTCAGTATCATCGGATGCTGTGCCGTTTCTCCTTTTGCTTGCCAGTTTGTTCTACCCCAAGCTGGTTGATACTTCGTGGCCTAAGAGGGGCAGAGGCTTAATAGAATTATCTCATGGGTCACATTTTGTCTATCCTCAACCTAGTTTCTCCTCAAATCACATTGGGCTAGAGCATCCCCCGTTTTAGGTCAGCACACTGAGGCATGGTGTGATTAAATGACTTGCCTGAAATTCGTTTTTAGGCAATAAATATCAGCATGCTTTTTCTTGGAGAGGGGGAGATGAGACCAGTGTACCTCACACTGGAGGGTGGCAGGCCCTCCCTCTGTTCCTTTATACCCCCACCTCATTTACCATTATTCACCTTGTCCCTTGCCTGCCCCTCTCTATTAGTACCTCATCCTCCACTCACCCCTACTTATCATACTTCTCACCTCTACTTAGCCCATTCTTGCAAGGTGAAAATGCTTGAGAACTACTGAGTTAGAGCTTTACTGCCATACAAATGTGTTATGTTATATGACAAATTAATGCAGCAGCTTCACTTTGTTCTTATGCACAAATGTATTCCCAGGTAGGGACTAGTAGTAGCATTTGCAGTGACAATAATACTTCAAGTTGGATATGTTTCAAAGCTGGGCCTTTAGAAAACAGAGAGTAGTAAGTAAATAAGTGTCAGATTTCTGACACCAAAGAACGTAGATGACTCTGCAATTTGGGATGCTGACACACCTTGCTAGGAACTGGCAAAAACTTAAGTATAGTCTGGAGTTTACCAGCTCCTACCAGTCCAGTGTGCTTATACATGCAAAGAGAGTAAAGCAAACCCAGTTTTCTCACCTACCAAGCGTCCCCTTAACTCCATTCCTCTCTGCTAGTAGATTTTTGTTGCTGGTGTTAATGTTTTGTTTTGATTATTTATTGATTGATCTCTTGATTTATATTTTTTTATTTGATGTTTGCCTTAGGCCTTTAAGGCTGTGTCAGCAAGGTATGGCCAGAAGGAAGAATAGTGAACAGACTTGAAACTCATGCAAGTTCTGGGACCTTCTGGGACACATTGCTTATATAGTTTTATAAATGGGCTTTTAGGACCCTTTGTGGAAACAGACTCTTCATTTGCTCTTATCCCCTATTTCATGACTAAATTTTTAAAAAGATAATAAATATACCTCATTCTAATAATTAAAGAAAATTAATGAATATCTCTGACCAAACCACAAGAAATTCAAAATTAATTTGGGCTTACAAGACATTGGTGGAATTCTACCTTTTAGAAAAAAAAAGATCGTTACTAATTTATACTAGCTCTAATTACTAATTTACTTACTAATTTAATAATTCTATGTCACCAGTGTTCTTTGAACCATCTCAGATGTATGTAAATCAGAAAATATGCCCAATATACTGCTATAATACACTCTCAAGCAATATTTATCAATATGATATAATAGTATCTATTAAGAGGATTTTTTGTTGTGAATTGTAAACATTGAGTACTATTACAAATTACTTACTTGGTAATATTTGTTAAATTAAGTATCACATTTTTGTGAGTGGTCTGACATTAGAAATAAACACTATAAGTTTTTTCAGATACAATGCCAATCTATGCAATCGGAATTTCAGCACTAGTGCAATTTTATAAATGCAGAGTTTTACCTTTTATAACTGGGTTCAAAATGAGTATGTTGACTTAGACTAGATTTTACAGTAACAAAATTTGATTTTAAATATCTATGAATGTAATTCTTACCCATGGTTTTCATTCTTTCTATGATTCAGTCATAATTTTGACACTAGAGAAGAGGGAAAAAATGCATTATTGGTCTTTCTAGCCCCCTCTGTTCTTTGTGGTAGTACAGAGAAGCACAGGAAAATGTTTAATTATCTGTTTTTCTGTGATTTGTAATTTAAATTTGTTCAGTGGGGTTCTTAAAGTATCATCTTTCTTAAGTAATAAAAGCAACAGTGATAATATAGCTCTTTTTATAACATACTATGTACTTTCATTTTAGACCAAACTAGAGTCAGAACGAATACTAGCATCAGTGGGGAAGAAACCTCCCCAGGAAATTGGGATCAAAGTGAAAAATCATTCTGGTGGTGGTGTTTCCTTGACTCACAATAAAAACTTTAGAAAACTATTGAAAGAAATCATTGGGGATACTGCACCAAGACTGACAGAATTGAACACCAAAGAATTTGCCGGCTTCCAAGTAGGGCTCTTAAACAAGGTAAATTATGACATAAATAGCTTGTTGGGGTGGTGGGAAAAGATAAAGTCTGTGAAAGACAAAGGGGAGAAGGAATGGGAACGAACAAGGAGAGCTTTCAGATCCCTTGCAGAACATTTGGTCCTATCCAAAATATCCATAAGACATGTGGTCCACACAAAAAGGCCCTTGAAATCTGGTCCGATCATATTTGGTTCAATGCCGAATGGACAGAACCAAGTATCAAGGACATCTTGGTATGTGCTACATGTCTTATGAACATTTTGGACAGCACCAAGTATGACCAAATATCAAGGATCTTTGGGGTGGACCAAATATCTCCTAAACTTCAGATCACACTGCTGAACTAACATTGTGAGAGAATGGGGGAAGGAAGGAGGAATGGGTATGAAGAGCTTCAGGCATCAGTGTAGCTTGTAGAAAGTCTTGGCCAGCCCAGCAGGGAACCCTGGCACCACAAGATCCCATAGAGGAGGTCCACATTGACAGAGCTGGCCAGGCCTGAACATCCCCCATCATTCTCAGTCACTGGCTGGGGGCAGCCTGGAAAGAGCACGGCCTCTGTTCCAGCACTGCCCCAGATCCTGAAGGTACTGTGGCTGGAGGTGCTCAGATCACTGTACCCCTTGTGGATCAGCCATTGCTTCCTGGACGGACATCCCATCAGCTCCTCTCCATGGCTGCCAGGGGACGGCATCTAGATTGTGAATAGTGGGCCTGCAAGGCTGCCACAGGCACAGATATCAAGATCTGATGTTTTAAATGGTATACTTGAAAAAAGATATACACAATGGCTTTAAAGCTATGTGGATGTAGTAGAATTCAGAACAGGGCCAGCAAAGGCGAATTTTCCACTGCAAAATTATACTGAAGTCAGTTGTAATGAATATCCCTCTCTTTGCTAAGATTTTAAGAGGATTAGGAATTACATTTCTATATTAAAAGCCTCAGGAAAAAAAAAAGCCTCAGGAGTAACTGAAATTGTTTCATTTCAAATAGGATTTGAAACCTCAGGCATATAGAAATGCTTACGATATTCCACGTAGAGATCTTTTAGACCAGTTAACCAGAATGCGATCCAATCTGCTGAAAACACACAAGTTTATTGTTGTACAAGATGAAGGTAAGTGAACAAAGAAGTACTTTTTGTTGATAAAATGTCAAGTCTGACTAACATGAAGGTGTTTATTGCATAAAGCGTATGTTATTTTATAATACTTTAATATTTATAATACCTATTTTCTCTAAATCCCTTCATCTACTAGCACAAGTTTATTGTTCTTGGGTTTAAGGGGAAGTGGGCATTAATTGGCATGTATATTACACTACACATGCTTTAGCTCTTGTAAGTCTCCAAACAACCCTGTGAGATAGATACTGTTTTTATGCCCATTTTTATGGACATTGGAACTCAGAATGAGCGTTTTAATAGCTTCCCCAGTTCTAGTGAGCTGGAAAGCAGCAGAAACTAGGTCTATCAGAATTTGGAAATTGTACACCCTGACACTGTACCACCTAGCCTGCTCTGATAAACTCAATCCAGATTCCTCATTTACAGGAAAAGAATGAACCTGATATTGTCAAGGATAATTGATGATGATGTACAATTCCCCTTGACTCCATTTTGTTCATTTTAAACAGTATCATTTGTCCATTAAAATGAGCAAATCTTAGCCTGGCCAACCTCCTGAAATTATATGTCAGTATTTTTTTTGAGGGGGTAGTATCTTTTTTAGGAATAAAGCCTGTAGATCTACTCAAGTTTTCAAAAACGGGTACGGCCCACTAACCAAGATTCTCTCGATGATAAGAGAAAGCCAGAGAGCCTAGGCTCTTCGAAACACAAAATATTTGGTTTTGAGTTGGGATGTGGTATAGGGAATGTCAGCCCATTCTCAAACCTGCGACGAAGAGTGAGGGAGTTGTTCTTGGTCTAGGGATTTGAGCTTGTAGGCCGTGGTGATGGTAGACTGAGTGATGAATGGGATGAAGAGAGATGATTTTAGATGTTAGAATGCTAGATTCAAGATTTTAGCCTATCGGTTGCTGAGATACACAATGCTAAACCAGGCTATGATCATGTCTTCTCAGAAGGACCACACACACTTCAACTATAGAACATGTGTAGAGCATCTATTTGTCTTCTGGTGATTTTGCAGATTCTCTTCATAGTGTTCCAGTTGCACAAATGGGTAACTATCAAGAATATCTAAAGACATTGGCTTCTCCACTTCGAGAGATTGATCCAGACCAACCAAAAAGACTACATACTTTTGGCAATCCATTTAAACAAGATAAGAAGGTGGGATACCCAGTTCTATGTCTGTGTAAATCATGATATTCTTGAAATAACTCCTTCCTTTTTGGTAAGGTGTATATAAGTCAGAGGTCTCACTTCTGTTTGTTTAAAAGATAAAATATGTCTCCAGGGCTCTTTGTGAATGGAAAGTGGGAGCCTCCTGATGGAAGAGTATGTTGGTTAAAAAATGGTATCTGGCATTTACTGCATATGTAGTAGGAGCTGATGTTTTAAATGATAACATTGAATGCACACAACCATTCTGCAGATGAGTATAACTGTCTGCCCTATAATATGAAGAAATCAGAGCTCATCATGGTCAAATGATTCATCCTGAGTGACACAGCCAGTTAGAGCCAAGATTTGAACCTCCATCTTTCCAGCTCCAAAGTCTGTATTTACTCCCAGCTCCACACACTAATTCCTTCAATATTGAGATCACCATTTATTTCCTTTTGTGCTCTATCTAGACAGTTATTAAGTGTTTTTCTTGAAATATGAAGTACTAAGTGATGTTGCTTTATTGGCTTGTCCTACAAGAGATATAAACATGAGATGTGTGTGCACACGCATATGCGTGTGTGTGTATGTATCTCTGTGTGTATATGTGAGAGATATGCTGACTTGATGATATAAGTGTGAAGACAAATGAGAATTATATCTGCAATCATGGAAGAAACCATTGTTACAAAGGTGCAGAGCATGTAATAATGTCTTCTGTAACAAAACTGGACCAAAAGTATTCTACTTTACCTGAATCCTCAGTTAACTAGAGTTCTTCTTAATTTTCTGTGTCTTGGTTTTTGTCATTGGTAGCACTGGAGATAACTATGACATCTAACTAATAGAGCTCTGTGAAGAATTGAGTTAGTACCTGTACATCATTTAGAACATTACCTGACATGTGATACATGCTCAATGAATATGTTTTCCTCTTTCTGTACTGTTTTGCTTTGGGAAATGCTTTGGAAAAGTCATTTATCATGGTTTTATTCAAATAATGGGAGTGCATCTTCCTGGGCTATGCTTGGATGAGAACAGCTTTTAGTTAACCTTCTATACTGCTGTCTCTCATCTTTTATTCCCAGGGTGAAAAGCCCCTTCCTTCGTTTGTGTCCAGCACCAAGGTGAATATATATGAATCTCTGTGAGGTTGCTACTGGGGGAATGACATTTTCCATCTACCTATCTGTCACCATTTACATGCAACATTCTGTATAGTGATTATCAATATTTCTTAAGGATGCTTTTAAATCACACAAAAGGGAATGATTTCCTTACCAAGGTTTAATGCAAATTGGTTTGTAGCTTCTTCAGAAGGGTAACTGTGGGTTAATTTCCATTTTGGTTGATGAGAGTTTCTTATTCCCCAGGCTTTCAGGTTAATCATGATTGTGTTATGTTTGACCATAAAACAAGTTTCCTCCTTGTTCCACTTAGACTGGATTAAAATTGAGTAGTGTTTTCTGAAAAGTCTGTGTGAGGCATGGCAAATCTTTGGCCCATGATTAAGATCTATATTGTTGACATAATACATGATTATATATGCATGTGAAGAGTGTGTGCAATGTTCTCTTTAATGGAATATGTTCATTGATGTTTTCTAGGGAATGATGATCGATGAAGCAGATGAGTTTGTAGCAGGGCCGCAAAACAAAGTGAAACGTCCTGGAGAACTCAACAGTCCTTTGTCATCCAAGAGAAGGCGGAGTATGTCCCTGCTGTTGAGGAAACCACAAACACCACCTACTGTAACTAACCATGTGGGCGGAAAGGGACCACCCTCAGCCTCGTGGTTCCCATCTTATTCAAACCTCATAAAACCCACCCTTGTATATACAGGTATAGAGTAGTGGTTGTGATTTCCTTATGGCCCCTAGAGGACTAAGACACTAAACAATTTTCTTTTATATTCATTTATTTGTATTCAGTTTTTGTTCATTAAGTAAGCCATTATTAATCATCCATGTGGTAGGTACAAAGCACCCTGTGAGATGAGAGACCTTGTTTCAAGGATCTCCATCTATACGAGGGGAGGAAGATCCCTACTTACATAGTAGTCAACACAAGATGGAGAAATGTTGAAAGATGTGCCTGTTGACTTGTCAAGTCAAGGCTGAAGGAGGTGCAACAATTTGGAGTTGCTGCAGAAGTCAGTAGGAGCAAATGGGCTCAGCAAAGGCTGGGTCTGCACTGGGTCAGTAAAGGCTGGTGCTGTCTGTGCTCATCTCCTCTCCTCACTCCAGCCCAGCGCAGTCTGGCCCAGCCTCCTCCACTCCACTCGATGGTCCCAAGTATAAATCCCACATCCTACCATGACTCTCCATTCCTCTGATCTATGCTGCCATCATGTCACCATGATACTCCAATAGCTTTTTATTTTTCTACCTTCCAACCTCATCTAACTCATCTTCTGACCTGCAGCCAGAGTGATCATATCAACACAGAAATCAGATCACACCACAACCATGCTGAAAACCTCATTACCTTTCCTAGGCACTCAAGAGTACAATCTGAGCTTCTGACAAGCTCTGCACGACCTGGGCCCACCATCCTCTCCTAACACCTGTCCTCTGCATGGGCACAGGCCGACTCTCTTTCCCTCTCCAGCCTCTGCCCAAAGGACACCTGCTCAGAAGGATCTACCTGACCTCGTGATCCACTGGGACTCCCCCTCCTGCTTTCTGTCCCCTCCCTGCGTACTTCTCCCTGAACACGAATTTGAACTGTAATGATTTATTATTTTGTTGAATCATAGCACACTTCCTGCCTGGCCTCCCCATGAGCATGGACATTCCATAAGGGTGGGGATTGTTTCTATGTGTGCTGTTGGAGACCGCCCCAGCTCCTGGCATGGTGCCCAGCACATAGGACGATGAGTCAAAGGAGGAGAGGTGTCAGACCTGGAGTAAAAAGAAATTCACTTTTCTGAGACAGAAAAGATGGATGAGGAGGATCATGTATTGGCAGAGAATTGGGGTAATGGGGGACATATAGAGCCTTCAGATCTAGTGGTCACCACCTCTGTTTCCTCAGAAGTTTTAAGGAAGAGAGGAGGGAGTTTGAGGGGGGCACACGGAGTCTGGTGTCAAGCTCATTAGAGCATGGCATTTCATAGGTAAATGACATCAAGTGAGACTTGCTGCTTTTCAGCTTGTAAAGCACAAGCTGCAGCTAAGCCCTCAGTGCCAAGGACCTGAGACTGTATATTAGTTGTTCTGTATTGTTTCCATATGTATTCTTGGTGCCATGGAGATTACCTTCCTGAGCTCAATTTGAGGGGTCTTGAGCTCCATCTGGTACGTCCTCTTGCTTTATGAAACCATTTCCTCAAAACTGAGGAGCACCATGATATCCCTTTTGGGTTACTATAACACACTTACCCCATAGCTCAACTTATCATTTTGGTTTCCAGGTGTTACTGTCACTCACGATGTTCATGAGGAGAAGATGGAAAATGGTCAAATCTCACCTGATGGCTTCTTGTCAAAATCTGCTTCACAAGAGCTTATGAATATGGCAGGAGATGGTATCCCGCCCGACCAAGTGGATTCTCTATCTGATGATTTCACTAGTCTCAGGGAAGATGGCCTGATTCACAAACCTGGGTGCAATGCACATATAGGAGAAACCAAGAACTGCAGCGTCTCTGTGGATGATCAAGAAGTCTCAGTAACATCTGCTTTGGAAAGTGTGCCAAGTACATTGCAGATAACTCCTGCTATGGCACAAGGAATCAATGCTGATATAAAACACCAGTTAATGAAGGAAGTTCGAAAATTTGGACGAAGTAAGTAGTAGAAGAACATCTATCAGTAATATAATGGGGAGATCCCTTTCATTTTAAGATTCAAAATAGATTCAGGGTAACTCTTAAGGTGCATTTTTGGGAAATATTGGACTTTCACATAATTGAAAATGATTCCTCTTGTTTTACCTAAACAACTCAATACACCTTTCTGAAGTTTCCCCCCCCCCCTTACTTACTGTAATAATCTCCTTTTGCTGCTGTAACAAGTTATCACAAACTTTGTAGCTCAAAACTGATTTATCTTAGAGTTGTGGAAGTCAGATTTGAAATTCTTTTCATTGGGCTAACATGAAGGTGTTGGCAGGCTAGCGTTCCTTCTGGATGCTCAGGGGGAGTCTGTTTCCTTACCTCTTCCAGCTTCCACAGGCTGCCTGTGTTCCTTGACTCATGGCCCCTTCCTCCATCTTAAACCAGCAATGTAGCCCCTTCTTAAGCCAGCAATGTAGCCAAGCAATGTAGCTTCTCTCTAGCCTCTGCCCCCACCCTTACACCTTTTCTCCCTGACCAGCTCTACTGCCTCCCTTTCCTAAGGATATTTGTGATTATATTGGGCCTCCATGTATAAACCTGGATAATGTCCCCAGCTCCAGATCCATAACTTAATCCCATCTGCAAAGTAAAGTCTCTTTTGCAAGATAAGGTAACATGTTCACAGTTTCTGAGAATTAGGACATGGACAACTTGGGGTGTGAGGCATCATTCAGCTGACCACATTTGATTAGTGTTTACAGGTTTCCCTAGCAGATACGTGCAGATGTCTCGATGACTGCTGAGGATGTGTAAATATTGAATTTTATTTTTCATCCATATTGTTAACAATAATAATATTTTTAATATCTTCAGAGTATGAAAGAATTTTCACTTTGCTTGAAGGAGTACAAGGACCTCTTGCAGTCAAGAAACAATTTGTTGAATTTACCATCAAGGAAGCTGCAAGGTGGGTGTGAAGAGGAACTTTTCATTGTGTTTTTTATTTATTTAATTATTTTTGGTTATGCTGGGTGTTCTTTCTGTGCTCAGGCTTTCTCTAGTTGCAGTGCACAGGCTTGTCATTTCAGTGGCTTCTCTTGTTGCAGAGCACGGGCTCTAGGGTGTGCAGGTTTCACTAGCTGCAGCATCTGGGTTCAGTAGTTGCAGCTCCTGGGCTCTAGAGCACAGGCTTATAGTTTTGGTGCATGGGCTTAGTTGCCCGAGGCATGTGGGATCTTAATTCTTGGACCAGGAATCAAACCTGTATCCCCTGCATTGCAGAGCAGATTCCACTAGACAACCAGGGAAGTCACTTGTGTGTTTTTGTGAGCATGAGGACCAAATGTAAGACAGGCAGAGGGATTGATCCTGCCTTTCTTTTGTAAGCCCTGGCCTTCGTGCATAGTTACAGCTATCTCCAGAGGCATTTAGATTGCTACTGTCCAAGTCCAACTCATTCACCCAAGTCTGGGAGCTTTCTGAACTCTTCACAGTCTTAGGTGGGCTTGGGCTCTCAGTTGGTACTCTTGGTATTAGCTAAGAAATAGAAATGAAGATACATTTTCTATTTCCCATGTAGATTGTCAGTTCCACAGTGCTTTAAGAACTTTTTGTTAATAAAATTCCTCTTTCTTTTTTAGGTTCAAAAGACGAGTCTTAATTCAGTACCTTGAGAAGGTACTAGAAAAAATAGAATCCTATCACCTTCTCAACAATGTTAATCACATCAACAGCAGATCATGATGTTACTGCAGAGACCAAGAAGGAAAAAAGAACAAGTTCTCTGTGTTGTAGGACAGAGCGGGATATTGTTGAACATCCTAGGATGTTTTAGTCAAGGGAACTGGCTTCCAGAGGTTAAGAAAAAGCAACGACACTTTTCATTTTCTGATTCTCTGGCAGTAAAAGCTTGCTTTGCCCTATGTTTTCTTTGAAAGTACTAACTGGTTGTTTTATTGTTACTTTTCCCAATTGAGGAAGGTGATATGATTAATCCAGCAGGTTAAGTTCAGTGAACACACACAAGTGATAAGGGTTCACTCTTGAGCTTGGTCATCCTGGGCACGTCCAGAGTGACTAGGGGCCACCTGCAGGTGGAGCACTACTTGATGCTCTTACTATGTCATTTAGAAAGAAGGGTTCAGAGTCCAACTGCTAATTGTGTGTGTTCTGAACGAAGTTTTCAACAGTTCCTAGTTGTGCCTTTAAAACCATGCAATATTCAGGACAGTTTGGATCAAAGAGTGAGAAAGCTGCTATTTGGATAACTTATTTCTCCATGGGAGGGGGCAGGGAGAGTCACCAAATGATCTACCTCCAACTGTCTTCTATTTTGTCTAGAGACATTACAAAGTACACCTGAGGCCACCTCCACCCCTGGCATTTGTTCTTGCTTGTGACACCAGAAAGGCTTCAGGTGGACTTGTGCATTCTGTGCTTCAGAAGCACTAAAAGAAAAAATAATGTAGATATTTCCTTTAATGTTTATACAAAAGTTTTTATGGAGCAGTATTGTTATGTTTGTATTTGCAGAAATTTAAGTGTACAAAGAGATTTTGACTTTTCATATATAAAATAAATCATTTTATTGATTTTTCACAAAGTCATTGACACTTGAGAAATTTCTAGTTTTGTCTTTCTTGTGATTTGTAACTCCTTTCAGAAAAAAAGTGCCCACTGTAATTAAGATGTTAGCAGAATGATGTAAACTTCAAAATGTCACTCACCAAACTGATACTGGTGAAACTGGTGGAGTGGGGTACTCCAGAAACACTGAAAACACTAGGGGAAATGATTGGAATCACGTTTACTGGGACTCTGGAAGATAGAGGTTTACAGCAACCAAGTGAATGTTGAGTCAAAAGGAAGACCCATTGAAATGTGATAGGAGAATCTGGTAGCATTTTAAGTTATTCTTGCCTGATTCCCCTCCCCAGTATAACAGTGGTCTTGAAGATGTCAGCCTGCATTCCAACTGAGGGTTCCTGGCTCAAGAGGGAGGAGAATAGACTTTATTCCCAAGGAATTGTGTTTGTTTAAACCTGTCCAGAGGCCTCCCTGAAGGACTGACCAATGGGATTGATTGCTTTTCTTTTGTCTAACTCTAAACTCTCTTATAAGGACTTCCTTGGTGGTCCAGTGGTTAAGACTGTACTTCCACTGCAAGGAGCACAGGTTTGATTCCTGATGCAGGAACTAAGATCCCTCATGCCATGTGGTGCAGCCAAAAAAATTTTTTTTAATTTGAAAAATAAACTCTTAGAGAAGCAGCTATGTGAAGGATGTTCCTCAAAAACATTGTAAAGCAAGTGATGGGCTTCCTTGATGGTCCAGTGGTTAGGAATCCACCAGCCAATGCAGGGGACAGGGATTCAATCCCTGGTACAGGAAAAGTCCACATGCCACAGAGCAGCTAAACCCATGTGCCACAACTACTGAGCCAGCACTCTAGAGCCCAGGAGCCACAACTACTAAAGCCCGAGTGCCTAGAGCCCATGCTCCTAAAAAATAAAGAAAAAGGCAAGTGAATAAGCTTCTGATGCTTATGGCAAGTAAAGTGTTAGTCGCTCAGCCATGATGGTAGTTGTTGTTCAGTTGCTAAGTCTTGTCCAACTCTTTGCCACCCCATGAACTCCAGCATGCCAGGCTGCTTTGTCGTTCACTATCTCCCAGAGTTTGCTCAAACTCATGTCCACTGAGTTGGTGATGCCATCCAACCATCTCATCCTCTGTTGTCCCCTTCTCTTCCTGCACTCAGTCTTTCCCAGCATCAAGGTCTTTTCCAAGGAGTCAGCTCTTCACATCAGGTGGCCAAAGTATTGGAGTTTCAACTTCAGCATCAGTCCCTCCAAGAATATTCGGGGCTGATGTCCTTTAGGATTGACCAGTTTGATCTCTTTGCAGTCCTAGGGACTCTCTAGAGGTCTTCTCCAGCACCACAATTAGAAAGCACCAATTCTTCAGCGCTTAGCCTTCTTTATGGTCCAACTCTCACATCCATACATGACTACTGGAAAAACCATAGGTTTGACTATATGGGCCTATGTCAACAAAGTGATGTCTCTGCTTTTTAATATGCTGTCTGAGTTTGTCATAGCTTTTCTTCCCAGCTGGCACTAGTGGTAAAGAATCTGCCTGCCAGTGCAGGAGATGCAGGAGACACAGGTTCGAGCCCTGGGTTGGGAAGATCCACTGGCATAGGAAATGATAACCCACTCCAGTATTCTTGCCTGGAAAATTCCATGGACAGAGGAGCCTGGAAGGCTACAATTCATTGGGTCACAAAAAATCGGACATGACTGAGCACACACACATCTTAGATTCCATATACATGAGTTCATGTGATATTTGTTTATCTCTTTCTGACTTACTTCACTCTATATAATAATCTCGAGGTTCATTCACCTCATTAGCACTGACTCAAATGTGTTCCTTTCTATGGCTAAGTAATATACCATTGTAGATATGTACCACAGCTTCTTTATTCATTCATCTGTTGATGGGCATCTAGTTTGCTAACATATCCTAGCTATTGCAAATAGTGCTGAAGTGAACATTGGGGGTACATGTGTCTTTTTCAATTATGATTTTCTCAGGGTATATGCCCAGTAGTGGAGTCATTGGGTCTTATGATCGTTTTATTCCTAGTTTTCTAAGGAATCTCCACACTCCTCCATAGTGGCCGTATCAATTTACATTCCCACCAACAGTGTGAGAGGGTTCCCTTTTCTCCACATCCTCTCCAGCATTTATTGTTTGTAGACTTTTTGATGATAGCCATTCTGACTGGTGTGAGGTGATATCTCATTGTAGTTTTGATTTGCATTTCTTTAATAATGAGTGATATTGAGCATCTTTTCATGTGTTTATTAATCATCTGTATGTCTTCTTTGGAGATATGTCTTTGTAGGTCTTCTCCCCACTTTTTGATTGGGTTATTTGTTTTTCTGGTATTGAGTTACATGAGCTGCTTATGTATTTTGGAGACTAATCCTTTGTCAGCTGTTTCATTTGTTTTCACCTTGTTTATAGTTTTCTTTGCCATGCAAAAGCTCTTAAGTTTAATTAGGTCCCACTTTATTTTTGGTTTTGTTTCCATTACTCTGGGAGGTGGGTCATAGAGGATCTTGCTGTGATTTATGTCATATAGTGTTCTGCCTATGTTTTCCTCTAAAAGTTGTATAGTTTATGGTCCTACATTTAGGCCCTTCATCCATTTTGAGTTTATCTTTGTGTATGCTGTTAGGAGGGGTTCTAATTTAATTCTTTCACACATAGCTGTCCTGTTTTCCCAGCACCATTTATTGAAGACACTATCTTTTCTTCATTGTATAGTCTTGCCTCCTTTGTCAAAGATAAGGTGCCCATAGGTGCATGGATTTATCTCTGGGCTTTCTGTCTTGCTCCATTGGTCTATATTTCTGTTTTTGTGCCAGTACCACACTGTCGTTATGACTGTACCTTTGTAGTATAGTCTGAAGTCAGGAAGATTGATTCCTCCAACTCCATTCTTCTTTCTTAAGATTGCTTTGGCTATTCAGGGTCTTTTGTGTTTCCATATGAATTGTGAAATTTTTTATTCTAGTTCTGTGAAAAATACTATTAGTAATTTGATAGGGATTGCATTGAATCTGTGGATTGCTTTTGGTAGTATAATCATTTTCACAATATTGATTCTTTCAGCCCAGGAAATGAAATATCTCTCCATTTGTTTATGTCATCTTTGATTTCTTTCATCTGTGTCTTAAAGTAGTAAAACAGCTTTAGGATAAGATAGTTCTGTAATGGTTGCACAGCACTGTGAAGGTACTTTATGCCATTGAGTTGTACATTTTAAAATGGTAAACTTTAGGGAATTTCCTGGCGGCCTGGTGGTTAGGATTCCATGCTTCCACTGCCAGGGTCCTAGGTTCGATCCTTGGTCAAGTAACTAAAATCCTGCAAGCTGCGGCATGACCAAAAAATAAA